CCCCCACCACACCCTTTCCAACGTACTAATGGGAAAGTGAAGGATTGTGGTATTAAGGTAGCATCATCATTGACTTTAGAGAAAAAAATTAATAATTTCCATTTTTTCACCCACCAAGATCTCAGACAAATTGAAGAGTAGCCTAAAATACACACCCTTTTCCATTTCAGTAGTAGTAAAAGTGCCATTCTTTTTTTCTTTGCACATCTTTGTGTTTGAATTTAGACCAAAAGCTTCCCAACACTAACACTGTGCACTAACCACAAAGCCACCAAGTCTGATAACAAGAGATATTTACCTTTCCAGCAGGAGTAAAGGAAAGTTGCCATCCTGAAATGCTTATTAAAGGTTAATCTGTTTCGTTGGTAGGGCATGTATTGCTGACAAAGACTCATTTCGTAGTGCGATACCTATTGGACTAGGAATTCAGCAACAAAGAACAGCAGCTGTGGGGATCATTCTCTTAAACACAAACTGCAATGAGAGGCAAAAGAGAATTGATTGGCCAAGACTTGCCTTGGGTGACATGGATCCATCTTGGTTGGAAAAAGTGACATGGGTGGAAAAACTCTTCTTAGCTTCAAATCTGCTCACAAGTGTACCAAGAAATATAAAGATGTTAAACAAACTGTGCTTTTTGGACTTGAGAAGAAACCAATTAAAGAGTATACCTGCCACTTTGCTTGAAATGCCAAATTTAAGAGAACTTAAGCTTTGCCACAACAAGATTGTTGAGCTGCCTAAACAGTGTAAATGGAGTTCGTCACTCAAGACACTCTATTTGAGCGATAATCAATTGCAAACATTACCCAGGAGCATGGCAGAAGCCAAGTTGTCAATATTTTACATAGCAAGGAATAATTTATATGAAGTACCAATGTGTATCTGTGCAATTACAACACTGCAATCACTAGACCTGTCTGGCAACCCAAGACTAACTCAGCTTCCTCCACAAATGGGAAGACTCACCAATATTGAAATGCTCAAGTTGGAGAATTTAGATCAGGTGAGAAAAAACAAATTAAATAAATTATGATTTTATGATTACCAGCAATCAAAACCAAGATGAAATTCTCTAAAGTCATTGGTTATCACTGACTGCAGCCTACTTGAGCAGTGATAGGACAATTTATTACACGAGTCGGGCAGTCAGAGGGCCAATAACTAAAAACAACCAATCAAAATGCTCCATTGCCGGTCCAATATTCTCTAACTATTGGACCGGGCAATGTCCCGAATGGTCCCAAATGATACCACACTTGTGTCCCTCTGAACTTCAGTCGTATAATAAATCTCTTATTAACCAAGCTTGCTCAGGACCGTACTGGAAGAATATCGACCCTCTGTCTTTTTTGTACGGACCTCGCTGCGCTCGTTCCTTACTGTCAAGACCTAAGGCCGATATTCTCCCAGTACGGCCCTTGCACTTGGTTAATAAGATATATATATGTATGTTTCAATTGTATTTGGACAGTGTAACTGGACAGCATGCATTGAACATGTGAGCCCTGTTGTCATGTTGTCTTGCAGCACACTAAGTATAGTGTTGTTTTATAATGAAAACAATCATATAGTCAATGGCTACAGCTGTAGGTTGTCTAACTTTTTTTCATTATTATGATGATGGTTTTGGTAAAATTGGTAAAAGAACATGGTAAAATAATTGGTAAAAGAACGTGGTGTCATCCAATTCTGTCTGTAATCATATTCGGGATTAACAAGTCAGACTCCTGCTCTGTGGTCATCCAATTTTGTTGAAAACTTGGCATGTTTGATTACAGACAGAGTTGGATTCTGCAAAGCAAACCGGGATGGGGGGCACTCAAGTTAGCCACGTCCTATTTATTTATGGCAGCACATGAAGACAAGAAGTTTGCCATGCAATAGAAATAGAGAATGCTTGCTCAAGATGTTTACCTACCCCATGCAGTTTTTCCCTCTTGATAAAGAGTTGCTTAGCCCAGTAAAATCTGCCACCCAATAAAGGCCCAAGTCATTTAGATAACACACCGAGAAATGAATTGGATCCATGTGACCAAAACAAAAATGATTTGATTTGGGATCCTTTCTCTTAGCCACTTTCTTGCTCTTTTCTACTCTCGTTTTGCATATTTTACTGGCATTCTTGTCAAGTGCTTACCTATAAGGCCAATTTGAAATGTCACGTTTAAGTAAGGAGCTTCACCATTAACCCATTGACCAGCATCTAATTTCTCCTTACAATATCACCCCAGATTCACACATGTAGGCAACGAGAATAAAGGAAATGATCACTGACTAA